GTACCGTATGGTCCAGAAGACAGAGCGTACCGATACGGCGTACCGGTATTGTCTGTCTAGAGGGAAAACTGGTTTATGCATTGAATTAAAAACATTGACTATAGTAAGATTTAACCCGTCTATAACCAATCTCCCAACTATTACAAAAATCCCAACTATGTGCTCACTGTATCATGCATGAAGTACGTAATAATTATAGATAAAATGGTATATAGCATTAGGTTTTGTTTGGTGTTCATAACTGTGAGCATATTATAATAATAACCATCTATCAATTAAGAGAGGTATAAACATTAACGCATAAATAAAACATTGGAATTTCCATAACTTAAACAGTATTACACATGCATTCACCCTTTACTGAAGAGTATAAATGGACTACTCATGCCTAATTGCAATAGACAAGCAACAGGAGTAAGGCAATCCCAATGCAATCGAAACAAAAATACAACAAAGTCCTTTCCCAAGGAAAGTAGAAACATTGCCACTCTTAGTACCAGCTAGGGCACAAAAGTAGGAGAGGTTAACCCTCAAAGTAGAAAGGATAAATAGAAATGTAGAAGTAGAGAAAATTCTATTTGAGAAGTGATTAGGGTAAGACTCCGCTTGTTTTCTGACTAAAACACTCTACGAAGCCTTTCTTTCTCTCTTTCTTCCCTCATTTTCTCTCCTTTCTTGATTGGACTGAACTGAACTCTCCTAAATCTCTTTGAAAAATGGCTAAATTAGGCTATTTATGAGCACTGAAAAGAGGATGTAAGATGGTAGACACCCAAGCTGCCCATTGGGAGACTTTTGTTGCTCAAATGGACCAATGGCAAAAGAGAGAGAAGTGAGGCAGTTTAAGCACCGTTTGGATGCCACCACTATCGTTTGGATGGTGGCAACTCTCGGGGATTTTATCCTTGGCAACCACCCTTGTTTGACTCTTTGAGTTCAGAATTACACTTGTTTCCCTTGCTTCATTCAACCTTTGCACTTCGATCCTCCCAAACTTCGGTATTTATGCTTGAAACCTTGCCAAATATACAAAATACACATTAACCCTAATACTTTATAATTTAATCATTTTAACCTAATTTACGCACACAATTAACCCTAAAAACCTAATTCCTTTATGCACTATTTAGGGTTAATCACACCCCAACCAAACATTACTAGTGCCTAGTAATAAAACAAATAAAATCAAATCACTTTTGTAGATTTCACGATTACATTTAGCTGATGCAACAAGCAGTTAAACTCCTAGGTGATCCCTAGTGGACGAGTTTTGTCTCATGAAGGTTTTTAGTGAAGATACCTACAAACTTCAAAGGTTAGGATTACATAATTTATTTTTTCCATAGATAAAATTCAATCACCGTTCTAGTCTATTGCCAAGATACTTCCCTTCCCTAATCACTATAAGGGTAACAAACATTAGTTGTAACATTATTCCATATATTTTTAGAAAAATTCATGTGTGTGTTGGGATTTCTTTATTTCAAAAACACTTAAGAAATATCACAATCCTTCATTTTGCTAGATAAGAATTAATCTTGATGTCAATCCTTTCCTAGAAATCACTCAGCAAAGAATACACTCAGATTTTAGTGACTATCACTCAAAAATTACATGTGATAAGAATATTGCTATCAAAGCAAGTTAATGCACATGTAATATCCCAAAAGAAGGTTATTTGAATAAAATTAGAAATTGGCATAATCTCATGAACAAATATTAACACTATACCAAACAACATTATCAACATCATCCGTTTCTAATCAATAGGTGGAAATAATACATATGCATGACTTCTAGAACCAAAAAGGACTTTATCAGGTTATAATGTGGCCAAGGGTATTAGGTTTTAAGAAATAACGTCAAAGGTATTCAAAAAGCTATCCATCCATTCCGACTAGTGTAGCACATATCTCTCCTATTTTTTCAAAACTTTTACACATTGTATTTCCCATTTCTCCTTTCAATCCCATTTTTGTAATTTCTTGGTTATTTTCTTTCTTTGCTTCCTTTCTTTTTCTTTATTTGTATCTCTTTTGTTTCTTTCACAGATTCTTTTGATTTTCTTGAACCATAATCACCATTTTTCTCCTTTTTTTTTTTTTTTTTTATAATGCCTTTTTCAAGAGAGGGTGTAAGAAAATTAGATAGCAAGGGTCGGATAGATATATTTTTTGTGGCTTGGTTAATGCATGGGTTAAAAGAAAAGAAATCATACTTTTTAGGCTCAATCACAGCTTACTAGGGATATAGTTTTGCAAAAGAAATGGCTAAGGCTCAAAATTAAATCTCAATGGCCTAAGATCATTTTCCTCTATATATGTAAGCTTAATAAAGGATTGTAGTATTTCAAAAGGTTTTCAAAATAAGGAATTTTTACGTGCTCAAGAGAATGAGTTTCTATGAAAATGTAAAGAAAGTGTACAAACAATGTATGATAATCCCACGTAATTGGGTTAGGGTTATACCTGCAACACATTAGAGCGATAACATAATTCTTATCGTGAATCGTATGAACTAAGTACACTAACACAACACAATTTAAGCAAAATAATAACTAACCAAATTAATTAAAACCTAACTCAAAACAATTGTTCAAAAAATCCAACTGAAATAAAGTGCATAAGTAAAAAGCTCAGTAAAAATAGAAAGAGCCTATAAATTTTAGAAACTCTAGTCACTAAATTGATGGGCCACCACTTTATTGCCCTCGAAGTAGCCTCGGGATCTCATTTTGATTCTCTTCATAGCTACCCATCCTCTGATCCAATTAAGTGGTGCGAGTCTCTAATCCCAACAAAATTTAGTGGTCAGTTCGGTCATCAACGGGGAATATAAGGCTGCTCTTCTAGTGGCTTGGGCTCCTTTGGTGGTTGAAAGTCTTCACCTTCTGGGAATGATTCTGTGTTACGACTCTGGGGGGGTGTACTTCCTGTTGTTCTTTTGCCTGCCATCCATAGTTCTTTTTAGCCAGGTTTTGTCCAATAGGGCCAGATGCTCCACGAGTAGCCATGTTGGATCTACAATCACTCCTTTTTCCCTGCATAGCTCAAATACTAACACAACAAATGGGAGTGAGAGCTTCTTATTCTTAGCTGTTACCATCATTTGATCCATTATCAGGGTTGGCAAGTCAATAGTATATCTCATTCCAAAGGCATACAAGAAATAATCCCTTTCAGCGTAGATTTGATTTTTTTGAGATTGAGGCAGTAAGTTGTTCACAATGATCAAATTAAGATTCTATATTTATCTGTCAAGTCCCCTTGTTTAATATACTTGTTTGGCCTACCCCAGACATACTTCGAATTCCTAGTCAACTCAATCTCAATGGTTGTCATGTCAGGCAAGATGGTAAAGAGGTATTGGGGATCCTGATGCCTTGGCATAGGATTTAGAAAATTAGCAATCGTTGTTGGTGTAACCTAAAACACTATTCCCTTAACATATGTATGCAATTGCCTTGGCCCAATTTCTCATGCATTACTATAGAAATCTCAGACTAAGCATTCATAGGCAAGAGGTAAAGAGAAGAAGCTTCACCCCGAAAGAGGTAAAAAGAAATCAATGAAGAGGTGTGCAAGAGCGCCGACCTTAATAGAGCTTGCCCTCAAGATAGTTTTCCTCTGACCCGATTCGACCTCATAGTTGATTCCATGGCAAGACATGAGTTTGTTGAGCTTTATGAACGCCTTCTTAGGGTATAATCAAATCAAGATGGACCTAGATGATCAAAAGAAGACCTCTTTTGTCATAGAACAGGGAACTTACTGTTATCAAGTCATGCCGTTTGGACTCAAAAATGCAAGAGCTACCTATCAAAGGCTAATAAATACGATGTTCATGGAAAAGCTAGGAACTACTATGGAGTTCTACATTAACGATATGTTGGTATAGTATTGGAAACCAGAGCTCCATATCCAACACCTCAATGAATCATTCCAAATCCTACGAAAAGTATGAGATGAAGCTCAACCTCGCAAAATGTGGTTTTGGGGTAGCAGTTGAAAAGTTCCTATACTTCATCATCAATAGAAGAGGAATCGAGTCAAAAAGTCACCCACCAATAACAAGGAAATATAGCGCCTGACAGGTCGGATAACAACACTTAATCATTATGTATCAAGATATAGCTACAAGTGTCAACCCTTCTTTAAGGTCCTCAAAGTTGAATTTCAATGGAACAACCAATGTAGAGAGGCCTTCCATGGCTTGAAAAATTATCTAAGCTACCCACTAATACTGGTTAGTCCAAAGAAAGGGGAGGTCCTTACTCTAAACCCGGTAGTGTTGGACTTCTCAGTTAGCGTAACTCTGATAAGAGAAGAAGAAAGAAGGCAACATCCCGTCAACTTCTACAGCCAAAGTTATGAGAGGAGTTGATGAGAGATATCCAAATATGGAGAAGCTGGTATTGGTGTTGGTGACAACAACAAGAAGGTTGAGGCCTTATTTTCAAGCCCTTATAATAAACAATCCCCTAAGGAGAAAATTTTTTTATTAGAGTGGATTAGTCAAACTTTTAAACTGGTAAACCACTAAAGTTTACGTGTCCATTCCACTACCCAGTATTCACTTTTGTACTTATACTTTTACACACAAGCCTTGAGTTCTTCAGGTTAAGAATCACTATCTTACACTTAGAGTTCACACACCATCGACCATTATTTGGTAAATTTGCTTTTAACCAAAAAAGAAAAGAATGCAAAAAGATATTAATTGGACAAAGAGAATGAGAAAATTTTTTTTACGGGCAACCATTCGTATAAAGACACATCATCTATTTTTAAATTAAATATTACTAACAAGCCTTCAATTACCTGTATCTGTTTAACTTTATCACACTTGTCTTGGATCTTGTTAAGAGTCTTCTTACCTAGGTTAATAATTATTGGATCCCACTTTACCGACTCAAGGGTTAAAACAAACCAAAAGAATAATAAAAAAATTTAGAAACAAAAGTTAGAGTCCTTAGGCGAACAACACAGACTTCTCCGGCGGCTACTGTTTGTCTTCTACGACAGCTGCTGTTCATCTTTTTTGGCCAAAATTCCTGTGAGTTTTTCCTTTTAAATATTTCTCTTTATCTATCTCATGAAATATGTCTTGGGTATTAATGTTTTTTCCTTTTTTTTAATTTTTGGTGTGCCTTTTGATATAAATTATGGGGTTCAATCTCTCTCTCTTAAAAAGTGAATATTTACATTTCTTGAGTTAAAGATTGGCAGCTGCTATTTTTCTCTTCTCTAGCCAAAATTCCGCTGAATTTTTTGGTTTAAACATACAGTAGTCATATTGGTAATTTTCCTATATTCTTGGTGATTGTTGAGAAAGGCTCATCACCCATTTTGGCACTTGTTAATCAATTATACAGGGTAAAATCCACAGGGTACAAGCCTACCCTTTGCATTATTTGCATGAAGTGGCTACCCCATATTCGAAATCCCAACTGACAAGTATTTGCCCTATATTTTTACCACTACAATAGTATTGAGATAAGTTCTTTACGTTTTCTTAATTTTTTGTTTTTCATTTCTGGTTTGGCTTCTGATATGGATTTCATGGGTTTGATACATAAGGTGTCATACCATTTAAAAACAAATAATTTAACATGTGCTATCCGTATTTTTTTTTCGTTTTATTTCAAGGTGATTTTTTTATCTATTTTTAATCTCCTTTGATTGAATACAACTATTTCATATTATTATATTTTGTGCAGAACATTAAATAAATGGCAACTGACAGTGGCAGAGTCGACATGGTTTTGTGTGATGATTATACCGAAGAAGGGTCTATTTTAGCACCAAATTTAGATGCCATAAACAGTTTGCATTTGTCGGAGATTGAAATGAACAACCAATCTATCAATACTTCTTCATGCAATGGTCCTCTAAAGCCATGTAAAGGAATGATTTTTGCTAAATTAGATGATGCTATGACTTGTTACAAAGCATATGAGACGAAAAAAGGTTTTAGCATTCAAAAAAATCATACTGGACCATCTCATTCTAACAAGCCATTGATTGGAGTGGTATTTTCTTGTAATAGGGAAGGCCGTCATCGTCCGAGCAATCAAAAGAAACATAAGAATGTAGTTAGTTGTTATGTGACCATGATTGGATGTAAAGCAATGATGGGTTTGAAAAAAGATGAAGAAAAATGTGTGGTATATAAGTTTGGTGCATACCACAACCATGAGATATGTCCTCTAAAAATTACATTGGTACTTCGAGGATAGAGAAAAATAACCTTTGCTCAGAGAAATCTTATTGATGTGCTTAATGATGCTAGTGTACCAACTAGAAAGATAATGTATGTGTTGACTCCAAAATCCGATGGTAATTGTAATGTGGGATGTGTTGCAATAGATGTCCAAAATTATTTAAGGAACAAAAGGAGAAAGCTTTTGAAAGAAGGGGATGCACAAAGAATGTACAACTACTTCCTAAAGGAACAGTCAGAGGTTCCAGGCTTTGTTTATGCAATTCAAATGGATGAAAATAGTTGCATAGGAAAAATTTTTTTGGTGGATGGAAGGTCAACACTGGGGTGCCAATCATTTGGAGATGTAGTCTCTTTTGCTGTTGCATACTTGACTAATCGTTATCATATGCCTTTTGTTTCTTTTACAAGAGTCAACCACCACCACCACCACCACCAATCAGTTTTGTTTGGTTGTGCTTTACTTGTGAGTGAGACAACAAAATCTTATGCATGGTTATTAAGAACTTGGATTGAGGCTATGTGTGGACACACTCCAACTGCTATTATCACAGATGATGACAAGGCTATGGCAAAGGAAATTGGGCAGGTATTTCACAAAACCACTCATCATTTGTGCATGTGGTATATTTTTCAAAAACTTCCTGAACATTTGGCTCATGGTTTAAATAAGAATTCCTCATTTCAAGGAGAATTCCATTATTGGATTCATGACACGGTAACAATAGAAGAGTTTGAAAATGAATGGAATCAGTTGATTTCTTAATATGAATTAAGGGAGAATGGTTGGTTGAAAGACTTGTACATGAGTCGTGAAAAATGGATCCCAGCTTACTTAAGGACAATGTTTTGCATCGGGATGTCAACAACCCAAAGAAGTGAGAGTATGAACAAATTTTTCAAAGATTTTGTCCATTCAAGCACACTGGTAAGTGACTTTGTTTATCAATACAAGAAATCGTTGGACAAAAGATATCAGAGTGAGAAAGTAAAGGATGTGAAAACAAGAACCACAAAAGCAATTTTGAAGACATGTTATAGAATAGGGTAGAGGCGGCATAAGTATATACTAGAAAATTATTTTTACTATTCCAAGAAGAATTGTTTTCAAGTCAGAGGTATAAGGCAATTAAGTATAACAAGGAAGGAATGATGAAGACATAGAGGGTTATGCCAATTGGGAAAGAAAAACTGGTATATGAAGTAGTGCTTGATGTTTTACAAAGGGAAGCTGTTTGCTCGTAGGCACAAAAATCACAAAGGAAACATAATTATCTCACACTTGCCTTGCGAAAGGTGCATAATGAACTTCTAGTTATGGAAGATGAGAGTGATGAAAATGAATGTGATTTAGGGAGTACAATGCCACTTCAAGGTGGCAGTCAAGTTTTGTCCAACATAGAATTCAATTTACAAGACCCGCCATATATTGTTTCTCGAGGGCGACCCAAATCACATAGGCAAAAACATCCTAAGTAGAACAATATGGGGAAAAGGCAAAGATGTGGCATTTGCAAGTAACCAGGGCATATCCGAACTAGTTGTCCTCTACAAAAGCAACTGAGGCGAACCACATGATTATTATGATTTTTTTTTGGTACACTTAACTAGTTATATCGATTAGTGAAATTCTAAGTTTCAATTGTTTGTTATATGCTAGTGATAATGCTAGTATAAATGAGTCACCTATCATGTTAAATGTAATAGCCGCAATATTCATGAGGTAATGTATAATTATTTTTTCACAAGTAATTCTACGTTTTTATGTACGAGAATGCGCATTTTATTTAACCTTGAATTTTTTTCAATATGGCAAGGACTCACTACCGACAACTTCGTATCTTCCGTGTCTTCCATCTACTATGTCTCAAGTTTCTAGGCCTTCTACATTCATGGCATGAATTTTTAATATTATTTGTTTTAAAAATTTATAGTTTCATCTACTTTGGAACATGTTTTTCTTATACTTTGATCGTTTTGCAAAATCTCATAATGGAGGCCACACAGAAACAAATGTAATTAAAAAGTTGGAACAAAAAACATTTTTGTCATGGCTTGGGGAAAACAAGATTTAATATGTCCTAATATTGCAACCCTCTTGCCTAACTTTTTATTTTTCGAGGCCACTACCTTTTTTTGTCTCATGTTTGTCGTAGCAATGCTACTAATATTTTTGTTTAACTCTGGATGGTGGAAGTTTTTTTTATAGTAAAATTCAGTCCCTGTGAGAGTTAATTATTGGTAGTATACTTATGTGTCAAACAAATTCATTGAAGGATTCTAATTTGACCTACAAGTTTGTTGAAATGGAACTTGAATGCAGTGCAAGTTATATGAGCTCTGCCCTAATCATGTTAATCTAGCAATTTTTCTTTCATAAAACAAAAATGATTTCTTTAAAACTAAATGACCCAAAAGTTCGATATTCTTAAAAACCTATGTTCATAAACCAAAACCCCAAAAATATTTTGCGAATATAATTGAATTGAATAAACAAAGGCTGTGTCATATCATTGTTTTAATAATTCCATAGAAAGGGCAAATATAAACCACTTCCGCAATACAAAAAGATTGAAGACGAATACATTGAGCAGAAAAATTCAAGACAAATGCTTTGATTGAAAAATTTGGAGACTCGAAAAACGCATAAACAAAGAGTTCGGCGAATAGTAATTTAAATAAACCAGTAGGATGAGCAAACATAAACCACTTCTCCAAAATAGAAAACTTCCAGACAAATGCTTGGATCAATAAAATTGAAGACGAATGGTTTGATCAAAAATTTTGGAGAATCAAAAAATGCATAAACAAAGAGTTCATTAGATCATAATTTTTTTGAATTTTTTATATCTATCTCTCTATATCTATCTATATCTACCCTCTCCATGTCTATCTCTCTCTCTCTCTCTCTCACACACACACACACACAAGTGCACCTTTTTGAAGCACAATGAAGCATTTTTTTTTTCTCACAATACCTCTGTGACACAGCATTTTTGTTTTCACAACACACCCACATACACTCTCTATCTAGCCCTCTCCCTGTCACACACACCCCTTTTTTTTTTTTACAACTAGTGAGGAGTTCTAATTAAAACCCATTTTGTTGAAACAATTAGTACATATGTACATTTTACGTGAACTATTTTGAGTCTAAAATTTGTTATACTAAACTTGAACCTTCCACACAGTCTCTTTTTAGTTCTAACTCAAACCTCCCGATGATGGTTGCAACAATAAATCAAAACAAGTGAACATACCCCAAAAGACATAATAAAAGAGCTCCACAAAATTGCATACTCAATTATTTCCAAGAAAATAAAAAGTTCACAAAAAGGAATTAAGTTTGAATTTTTGTCTAGATCTAGTTACAACTCTAAAGCAAAACCCATCCAAAAAATTGAAAGATCATCAAATTGATATTCCTTTCAACCATTTGCTATTTTCTACTTCACCATCAATTGTTCATCAGCAAGAACAAGGATGTCAACACAAGAAAAACAATATCTACTCGTATCACAACCCTAAAAAAAGTAGAAAACAATAGAATGATCTTGTCTATATGGAGGAAAGGCCTATGAAAATAAAGAAGAAAAATAGAATATTTAGAACAACTATGTTTTCGAGTTAAAAAAATTATTCACTAGAATTAAGACCATGACATAAAAAAATCATAAATAGTCTCGTATCAAACCCACGAAAGTCAAATCAGAAGCCAAACCAAAAATCAAAAACAATAAATTAAGTAAATGTAAAATATTATAACATATCTCAATACTAATACAGTGGTAAAAATATTGGGCAAATACTTATCAATTGTGATTTCGAATATGGAGTAGCCACTTCAGGCAAATAATGCAAAGGATAGGTGCTGCATAGTTAAAATTAACATCTGGCAATGCTTTTATACGATTAATTGTGCTTTGATGGAGTTCAAATGACAACATTTTAGGGGAAAAGTTGTACAAGTGCCTAAAGTCAACAACATTAAACTTTCAAGCAACACACGTGGTCTGGAAGAGAATGGAAGAAAGAGGGAACAAAGCACCCACGTTCGAACGCCATCTTGAAATAATTGAGGACCCAAGGAGATTGTTAGGATGATGACACGTGGCTTGTTGCAACTATTTATTCTGGAGGACAAAAGTTACATGAGTACCACATTCAAACCTCAACAACGTTCGAACGCTCATTGTTTAGTACAAAACATTGCATATTTTTATGTACTAATCATCCTAGTTTAATTGTTTTTGTGGATTAAATGATTGGAGTTATATTTGTTGAGGTATTAATGAAAATATTTGTGTTTGCGATTAAAAGGAGCTAAATAAGGCTTCTTAAGGCCTTCCCAAATGTATTGAAATGATTGGGGATTAAAGAATGGCTAGAGGAAAGCTCTGGAGCGAAGAAATTAGAAAAATCAGAAAAGGCAGCAAAAGCGTATCGGTACTGCGTACCGGTACGGTCTAGCCTTTAGAGTTCAGCGTACTAGTATTGCCGTTCTGCCCCATTTTCTGTAACTCAGGTCTACTACTTTGAGGGTCCCACTAACAGATCTCCCATGCTCCCTTGACACGCCCACAACACTATTCATCCCTTTCACACTCCTCTTTGGACTTTTGGAGCCATGGTGATTAATGAAGAGAGAAAACAGAAGAGAAGTTGGGTGTGTAGACAAGCTCTGCAACCCTCTTGTCCAGCTCATTCCTCTTGCTCACTTTTGGAGGCTAGGGGATCTCTCCAAGCACGTTTATGGCAAGGGAAGACTCTATTATTCAGCATTCTACATTACACAGAGAGATAAAGAGAGAAGATCTGGTAGAAGATGATGAATAGTGTTCTAGTAAGAGAAAATTGAGATTTTTGCATTTCTTTCAATACATTGTCTTGTAATCCCATATATGAATCTTTAGAACTTCATTTAATGTCATTAATGTTGTTTTCCTTCAAGTTTAATGCTCTTTTAAAGCTTTCACCATTAATGCATCAAAGTTCTTCATTTTTCTTAGTTTTCAAATGGGTATTCAATATACTCTCTTATAGCTTATGTTTTCTTATATCTAGTTACTTTAGAACTTCATATCTTTACAACGCATTCTCATCACATTGTCAATTTTATTTTAAGCATGAGTAGCTAAATCTTTTAGTTGACAAAACTAAGGGGAATCTCCACTTGGGTGTACCATTTCAACTCATTCTCCTCCCTTCATTCAGAGTGCAATAATTCAGTTTGACTGGGCTGAGGGTAGATAAATTGGTAAGTCTTTGATATTCCGTAGGCCTAGTCACGATTTATACTTAGATACTCATCAA